CCTGCAGCTGCATCAATCATAGTTCTAGTTACTACATTCATTCCATTATAAAAAGTTTCCAGCTGCATCCATTCTGGAATACAATGATGTGGACATCTTCTCAGCAACTCTTTATATCTTTCCCATGCTTCATAAAGTGATTCTCCTTCCTGCTGCACAAAAGATGTTATTTCTCCTCTCAGCTTAGCAGCTTTTAAGGGAGGAAAATATTTTGTTAGAAATTTATTCACAAGTTCAGTCCATGTGGTGATACTTCCCTGAGGCTGTGCTTGTAACCAACATTTGGCTTTGTCTCTTAAAGAAAATGGAAATAGCCTCAGTCTTATAGCATCTTTACTTACTCCATTCATCCTTATAGTATCACACAACTGTAGAAAATTAGAAATATGCAGATTAGGATCATCAGAAATTCCACTAGAAAATTGGTCCTGCTGCACTAGGTGAAGTAAGGCTGGTTTTATCTCAAAATGATTGGCTTGAATGGTTGGTCTAACAATTGAAGAATTATAGCCTTGCATATCTAGAATTGCATAGTGTTCTCATTCTCTGTTGTTCTGTCATTTCAACTTTTGGAGTTGGTTGTCTAAAAGGTGAATGTTTCCTATTTGCAAAAGGAGTGACTTGAAATTCTGGAGAATGTATAACCTCTAGATCACTGTCACTTCCTACAGATCTCTCTGCTCTAGTCTCTTTTCTTAATCTCCTAAGAGTTCTATCAATGTCAGGATCAAAGACAAGAGTAGATTTATTTTTGTTTTTCCCACGCATATACAACTAAATACAAATATAGTATAATGAAAACAAAAAACTGCACATGTAATGTAATATTTGCAGAAAATTTAAAGAAACAAATGCTTAATCTAGTTATTTTCCTCTTACTAATGATATTGAAACAAATTATTCCCTGGCAACGGCGCCAAAAACTTGTTACTTTTACAACTGCTGTTGCACTGAAAGTAAACTGACTAGCAAGTGTACTAGTGTTGTTGTAGCAAGTTATAAAAAACCTTAGAATCAAATTGAGTTCCAAGTATCGTCCTCAGGGAATAAAGTTCTCAATTATCACTTCACAAGATCACAATTAGTTGAGCTTTACAAATTTCAGATGGAATTGGTATGAATGTATCAAAAATGAAATTAGAAAGTAAAACAGAACAGTTAGTACAAAAGTATATAGTAAACAGATGTAGAAAGAGTAGTTAGGAAATTGTTTCACCAAAACTTCAACATTGAATCAATAAAGTTCTGAACTTTCAAGCATTTACATGGAATGACAATCAGTTTCACGTTGTATTAATCAAAGGACAATCCCTTGCCTCAATGAATCTAGCATCTAATCAAATCACTCCAATCCCTTAGATCTAATCCAATCAAATGCTGCATTAAGTTTGAGAAACCAAAAGATTGCAAGATTAAGATATCTTATCCCTAAGAAACCAATAATCTTGGTAACTAATTCAGATCTGAGAAACAAATTCAATTCCCATTGATAAGAGTTCCTCTATGATTAGTTGATCAAATTTCCATTCAATCACTACTTTAACAGCAGAATCAATCACTCAATCCAATCCAAAACTCAAAGTTCAGATCCAAAATCAATTCAACATTTCAATTTCAGATTCACAATTCCTAACCACAAAGAGTTTAGGCAAACATTACAAAAAGAGAAGAGGAGAAAAGAATGAACAAAGAGGAAACATCTTCAAGCAAATCTCCAATCTGATCCCTCAAGAAATGAAGCTTGGTGTTCATCCTCATTCTCCCTCTCTGACTCTCTCAACAACAAAAACAAATGGAAAATGAAAAATGAACAAAAAACTGCAAAATTCCTGAGGTAACTGCCTTTTATAGAATTCCCGCTCTGCTGCCGTGATCACTTTTTCCAGCAATAGTAATCACGCAGAGGCTAATTCTTCATTTCCACTTGCGCGTGTTCACTTTTGCTGGTGATAGTAGCCACGCGCACTTCAAAGTGTTCACTTTTGTTGAAAATAGTAGGCACGCAGAAGCTTCCTTTGCTAATGTCATGCGCGTGTTCACTTCTGCTGGAAATAGTGAACACGCAGAAGCTGCTTTCTTGCGCGTGTTCACTTTTGCTGGTAATAGTGAACACACACAACTACTCTTCTTGGAGGACTCTCTAGAACGATCACTTTTGCCAGCAAAAGTGATTACGCAGAAGCTCTTCTCCATTTTATGGTTCTGGAGTGATCACTTTCATCAGCGAAAGTGATCACTCAGAGGCTGTTCTTCAATTATCAACTTCTTTCCTCCAATTTTTGCTACTTTTCTTCTATTTTTCCTTTGATCATTCAATCCTCATGAACTTAGCTCAGAATTCCCTACAAAGGCATACTTGAAATGTCACTTTTTACATAGAAAATCAATAAATTTTAAAATAACTATGTTTAAAAGTGACATGCAACATTTTATTAATTTTTTAAGGGTTTTCTACTATTTCTAGCATGTTTTCTTTATTAATTGCACTAAAAACTATTGTAAAATACTAGTAAAATATGGATTCATCATGTACCTCTGTAGAATTATGTAAAGTATGTTCTGAAATTGATGAATTCTTGTTAGGTGATAATGATGTTTCATTGGATGATGCAGCAGGAGCAAATTTAGGAAGCTTTGGCTTGATTACAGCAAGTACACATACACCTAACAATGCTCCCACATGTGCTGCTGCAGATTTGGATGTTTCCACTAGAACACTTCCTTCTATTGTGCAACCACCTACACTTGAATTGAAACCTTTGCCCAAACATTTGAAGTATGCATTTTGAGAGGCTAATGATAAATTACCTGTGATTGTTTCTGCAGATTTGGATGCTGTACAAGAAGAGAAGTTGTTGCAGATTTTGGCAGCCCACAAACAAGCAATAGGCTGGACTCTGACGGACATTCCAAGAATTAGTCCATCTACTTGCATGCATAGGATCTTGCGAGATGATGATGCAAAGCCTGTAAGACAGCCCCAAAGGAGATTGAATCCCAGTCTTCTAGAGGTGGTGAATAAAGAAGTAAGCAAATTACTGGCTGCCGGCGTTATTTACCCCATTTCGGATAGTGAATGGGTGAGCCCTATACATGTAATACCCAAGAAGATTGGCATAACCATTGTGAAGAACCAGCAAGATGAATTGATTCCCACTAGAATTCAGAATGGGTGGCGTGTTTGCATTGATTATAGGAAGCTAAATATGGTCACCCGCAAAGACCATTTCCCCTTGCCTTTTATTGATCAAGTCTTGGAGTGGATAGCAGGGAAGTCTCATTACTGTTTTCTAGATGGATTTTCTGATTATTTTCAGATTCACATAGCCCCAGAAGATCAACATAAGACTACTTTCACATGTCCTTTTGGCACCTTTGCATATAGACGTATGCCTTTTGGACTTTGTAATACACCCGGTACTTTTCAACGATGTATGATGAGCATTTTTCCAGATTTCTTAGAGGATTCCCTTGAGGTTTTTATGGATGATTTTACTGTTTTTAGGTCTTCATATGATTCTTGCTTAGATAGCTTGTCTAGAGTTTTAGATAGGTGCATTGAGTCCAACTTGGTTTTGAATTATGAAAAGTGTCATTTTATGGTGAATGAGGGGACTGTATTGGGGCATGTGATTTCACATAGGGGCATTGAGACAGATAGAGCTAAGATTGATGTGATTGTTTCTTTACCTTACCCCACATGTGTGCGGGAATTACGCTCTTTTCTAGGTCATGCAGGTTTTTATAGACGCTTTATTAGAGATTTTAGCAAGATTGCATCTCCATTATCCATTCTTTTGCAAAAAGATTCTGACTTTGTCTTTGAGCAAGCTTGTAGGGATGCCTTTGATGAGTTGAAGAGAAGCCTCACTTCCACACCTATTATTCAGCCACCTAGATGGGAAATTCCATTTGAACTCATGTGTGATGCCTCAAATTTTGCAGTAGGTGCTGTGCTTGGCCAAAGAGTGGAGAAGCAACCTCATGTCATAGCTTATGCTTCTCGTACCTTGGACAGAGCACAAACGAATTACACTACCACGGAGAAAGAGCTTTTAGCTATTGTTTTTGCTTTAGATAAATTTCGTTCATATTTGCTTTAGATAAATTATCTTGTTTCCAAGGAGATTCCTTCATACTTTTCTAGAGCTCAAGTTGCCAAGTTGAAGAGTGATTCCAAATATTACATTTGGGATGATCCATACCTATGGAAGATGTGTAGTGACAAGATCCTAAGAAGATGTGTACCTGAAATTGAGTTCTAATCCGTGCTTCGATTTTGCCATACCCTTGCTTGTGGTGGACATTTTGGACCTCAACGTACAGCTCAGAAAATCTTAGATTTTGGATTGTTTTGGCCCACTATATTCTGGGATGCACACACTTTTTGGAAGACTTGCGAGCGGTGCCAAAGGATGGGGAATATTTCGCATAGGAATGAGATGCCTCAATTGCCACTTCTTTTCTGTGAGGTGTTTGATGTATGGGGTATTGATTTTATGGGTCCCTTTCCTATTTCATTTGGCTTTGTGTATATTTTGTTAGCAGTGGACTATGTCTCCAAGTGGGTGGAGGCAAAGCCCACTCGTACTGATGATGCTCGTGTTGTTGTGGATTTTGTTAGATCACATATTTTCTGCAGGTTTGGATTTCCTAGAGCTTTGATTAGTGACCAAGGATCACACTTTTGCAATCGTACCATGGATGCCTTGCTTCGGAAGTTTGGAGTTATGCATAGAGTTTCCACACCATACCACCACCAAACTAACGGACAAGCGGAAATCTCCAATCGGGAAATCAAGCAAATTTTGGAAAAGACTGTCCAACCTAATAGGAAGGATTGGAGTTTGCGCTTGGAGGATGCTCTTTGGGCTTATAGAACAGCCTACAAAACACCCATAGGGATGTCTCCTTATAGGGTTGTTTTTGGAAAGGCATGTCACCTACCGGTATAAGTGGAGCATAAGGCATATTGGGCAATCAAGCAATGTAACTTGGATATGGGTGCAGCGGGTTCTCATAGGAAGCTTCAATTGCAAGAGTTGGAGGAGATTCGTAGGGAGGTATATGAGAATTCCAACATCTACAAAGAGAGAACCAAAGCATTCCATGATAAGAGGATAGGCCGGAAAGAGTTTCATATTGGTGATAAAGTTCTTTTATATAATTCTAGACTTAAGTTGATGCCCGGTAAGTTGAGATCTAGATGGGATAGACCTTATCTTGTTATTAATATTTTCCCTTATGGTGTAGTTGAGCTTCAAGACATGGGATCCCAAAGGAGCTTCAAAGTTAATGGGCATAGACTTAAAGTTTTTCATGAGGACTTGAAAGAGCATGCACAAGAGAAGGAGGAGTCTACATTTGGATTGGCCATTTACCCTTGATTGATAGGGGAGTTTTTCTTTCCACTCCCTCACTTTTGGATTGTTTGGATTGTCTTTTTTCTTATTGTGTATACATTGAGGACAATGTGGATTTTAAGTGTGGGAGGGTGTATCATGTCACTCATTTTGTACATATTTGATTTTTTTATTTATTTCATTTGTGTTTCATGTTTTCATTTGTTTGTTTGTTGTAATTGTTGTACATAACTCAATTAGGTGATTTTTCATGGCTTTGATGGATTGATTAAATCATGCTTTAGTTTGATAGGTAGACTTTGAGAATCTTGTATGTTGGATTATGTGTGGTAGAATATTTACCTTGTGAGGTTTTGGGCCATTGAGATAAATGACAACATCATGTCATTTTGCTTTCTTTCATTGTGTGATTGCACTCATTGTTGTGTGACTCTAGAACTTGCTTTGAGCCTTTTTGAAATTACATTTCCATATGCATGCATTTAAATGATAGAGGCATTGTTTCTTTCTTGAGAGCTACTAAAAAAAAAGAAGCCAACCTTGCACTATGTCCATTGTTGAGCCCCTTGAGCCTAATATTTCCATTTTTTTTTTGTGATCTTAACTCATTACAAACCAAAGTGTAAAACCATGTGATGACCCAACCTTAGGGATTTAAGAACTTTGGAATTGTTTTGGAAATGATCATAGAAATAAGTGTGGGGGAATTCTCTTAGAAAATGCAATTGTGGTTGGTTGGTTGTTTGTGTTGTTTATCTTGTAGCTTGGAGGTTTTAGTGGAGCTGTTTTGTTAAAAAAAAAAAAAAAAAAACAGATTTGGAAAATAAAAAGAAATTTAGCCCCAAATTACCAAAAAGGGGAGCAAATAAAAAAAAAGTGAAAAAAAGGAACTAAAAAGTAAGCAATAAATAGAGGAAAGTGAAGGCCAATGATATCCATTTGAGGATTGGTTTATTGTATTGCATTGCATTATGTTTTCACTTAGGGGACTTACTTTCACATTTATTTTCTTTGCATTCATTCCTCATTGTTCTCATTTCCTCTTTGGTTTTAGCTTGCTCACCCTTGTGGTTTTCCTACCTTCATCCTAGCCCCAATACACCCTATGCAAGACCTCTTGATTTTTGTGTGTATATGTGTATTCTAGTGGAGAAGTAGGCAATAAGCAAGCCTAAGGTTGATCATGCTTCATTGATTGTGCACTTGAGTGATACATTTTACCTTAAACACTTGAGAGATTGAGAGTATGTCTTGAGAGGATTTTACCACATATATTTCTCTTGCATTGATTTGATGAGTTTTACCTTGTTGAGTTGGAGTGTGTGGATTGATTTTTCATTATTGCCATGGAATATTGAGCTTGGTTGAGTTTTGTCCACCAATTGATATTTTGAGTTCCATACTTTGCCCGGAGTACAAAGTCTTAAGTTTGGGGGAATTTGATAGCATGCATTATTTGTGCACATTTTCAATCCTTTAGAGTGTGTAAATTACCTTTCATGTTCCCTTATTTCACAAATTATGGCATTTCCTAGTTAATTGGATGATAGGAACTAAATTTCAATTAATGTCTAAATTTTGTTTTCAGACCTGCACTCACTATTTTGATCGTAACTTTTTCCATAGACGTCCGTTCGGTCTGATTCCAGTTGCATTAGATTCCTCATTTTCTGGGCTAAATAATTCATGTGTAGATCGTCCAAATTGAAGCTGTTTTCTATTTTCTATGAATTTTTGAAGTTAGGAAAATTGTGCAGGAATTTTTGTATTTGAATTTTGTTCTTGTAATTTCATTTCATTTGTATTAACATTTCATTAGCTTGTAATTTGGGCTGTTTAATCACACTTGTGGGCCCTTCCTTTTAGTGTTGGATCTGATCATAAGTGGTGCCTATTAATATGTTAGAGGCTCCACTTTGAAAACGGTTTTTTTTTTGTTTTTGTTTTGACACACTTTTAAAATTCGGTTTTGGCTCCTAAAATTCTCTCTCGAATTCTCTCTCTTCTCTTGGTGTGACTTTTCGTTTTCTTCTCTCTTCTTCTCTCTTCTTCTCTCTTCTTGACTTGGCTGAGCATTGGATTCAATGGAAGGCTAGGCTTCTTGGATTGATACACAAGGAATAGGGAATTGCAAGGAAGATTCAGAGTGGCTCCAAGTTTGAATTCTCTTTTCTCCTCTTCTCTTTCGTTTTTCAAGATATTGATAACGTTTGGGGATAGGAATTGAATTGAATTGCGATTGTAGTTTGATTCATGAAATTGAATTAGATTGATAGATCTATTAGTCAAATTCGTAATCTAGTTTGTTAACAAATTCGATTGAATTAGTTAATGGATTAGATGTTCAAATTAGGGAAACAATGAAGGATGTTGTTTGCATGAATCTATGACTTGTGGATCAATTAATTCTCATTAGATTTCTCTTTTATTCTAGAATTTTATGCGTTTGACCAGATTATTCTTAAACTCTCAAAATTCCCCAATCTTTCGTTTCATTTTAACAATTCAGCAAAGAAGAATTAGATACAAACATGTCCTCGAGAATTCGACCTTGGTAGACATTATTCTACAAATAATTGCGAAAACCTTGTGCATTTGATAAGTGTTCGACAAAGCTATATCAAGAAGCAAGAAGAAAATGAAAATCAAACCCTAGGTTGGATCCTTGGATTTCACCCAAGGTCGACCTAGGCTTTCCAAAGTATCCTAAAAATGGTAAAGTATCTAATTTGTAAAAAGCTCTCTCACCCTAATTTTCAAAAATCCATTTATACTGAAGTGGTCGTCGTCCATAGTAGCTACTATGAAAACAATAGTAGTTAGGTGCTGATGAATCCACATTTTGACTAGTTATATGTGAAATGGATTGTCAATTAACCAATTGTTTGAATATTCATTGCTTTCATATGTTACATCCTTTCCAAATTTGTATGACTCAACTAGTTATTACTCTGTGAATTGGTAATTGAATTCCTAATTCCCTGTGGAGACGATACTTGGATCTTAAATTTACTCATTACTTGCTGCAATTCCTAGTGCACTTGCTAGTGTTTAGAATTGTGAACAACAGTAATCACTCTTATCAACAAGAGTGAGTGTTCCAGAGAGTCTTTCAGCAGAACACAAGGCACATTGTCACTTTCGCTGGTGAAAGTGAACATTCCAGACAACTTCCAAGCTTAGCAAGTTGCGCGTTGAAACTAATACAGGTGAAAGTGAACGTTCCAGAGGAACCTCATTCACAACAAAGAGTGCGTTATCACTTTTGCTGGTGAAAGTGGATGTTCTAGAGAAGCTTCATGTTTAGCGAGTAGCGCGTTATCACTCTCGCCAACAAGAGTGATTGTTCCAGAGAGACATGTAGCTATGCAGGTTGCACGTGGCCACTTTTACTCATGAAAGTGAACACGCGCACAACTCGACTTCTAGCCTTGCCACTTTTATGAAGAAAAGTGATCGTTCCAGTATCAGAGAACACTAGATAAGCCTTTGCCTAAAAATAGCAGGATTTTTTTTTTCCAATTACGAACATAATCTCTCTCATCATAGAGAGTTTTAATCATACAAATAATAATCCGTATACCATAGACAATCATCATTCCACTTTCCAATTTCAACCACACAGTGGGATAAAGACAAACATAACTCGTGACATAAAGGTACCTCAAGGTATTTAAACATCAGTTTGGCAGAAATAGTAAAATATTCAGATAGCGTCGAGAGCAACAAACATTAACCCAATCCATTAAACAGAATCACAACATAAGTAAACCAAACGCCCTACGAGCAGTCCCACTAGGACAAAAATAAACAACAAACGTCACTCATAAGGTGAATAATCCTCAATGGGATCAGACTCCTCAGAAGATGTCGGGGAAGCAGAGCTAGAGGAAGCAGCATCCTCAGTGTCCTCTTCAATCCATCCAGCAGTGTGAGGTGGCGAATGGACGATAGTGAAGGGCGAATAGGTGTTTGGGTAAGTAGGGAGCATGTGGGGCAGTACATCATCATTCCTCACTGAGGGTTCTGCCATATAGACATCTCTCTCAGTGGCTACAGGGGGTGGAGTAGGATCCTCAGTAGGGAATGGTACAGGTGCAGGTACTGGTCTAGAATTGGGAGTACGGTGATCAACAGACATGGGAGAAGGAGTAGCTGCAAGTGCAAGATAAGGTAGGTGAGAATCTCCAGGTGGGGTGGAGAAAACAAGCTTGATAGAGGTGTCAACCATAAAGTGGGTGGTCCATGAGTGTCTGACATCCTGTCCATGAATCACTCGTGCCATTCCATAGAAGATGCTTTGCTGTGCTGCCGCGTCGAACACCCAAACGTCCTCCTCAGATGGCAGGATCCATACCTTCACTCGAAAGCTGGTCATTTGTATAAGGCATATACAAAAGTACAACAACACACACAAACAGGGATGAGTTCTCCAAAGACAAGCAAACATTCAATAGTCGTACCCCAAGGAAGGTGGCTTTTCACACCATCACCCAAACCACATCATTATCCAATCTCAAAACAAACATCGGTACAGTATAAGTCGGTTCATACTTCTCATAGATAATTCCTAGGTTCACCAAACTAATAATGCACATGATGCATGAATGCAAGTTTCTTTCCTCGCTATCCATCTCTCGAATTTTTGTTTTAATGCATATGGTATGCATGGGGATCCCTTACTCTACTGCCAGCAACTTGCCCAGCATTTAGTGTAGAGTTAACAATTTCATATCCAAGTCGTGTGGCGATCAGAGGACTCCATTCCCTGCATCACAATTGCACAGAAAAGAATTTATATCATTATTCAAAAACACCCAAACTGGTGCTGGCCCCAAACTGGGTCTCTTCGGGAATGGACCTCAACGACCCTAGGATGTGGAGTTCTTGTCGGGCTTGGCTAAGGCTTGCAAGTAGGGTCACGACCCGGCCACAGAGAGCTCTGTTGCGCCATCTAGGTCAATTGTTCCCTCTTTCGCCACCCACGTAGGTCTACTTTGGACCGAACCTCCAATACCTACAGT